AGAGAGTAAGAGGAAGAAGAAAGGAGGAAGAAAGGGAGTTAGGCTTAGATCTAGGAGGCTTTACAACCATTGCAAACTCGGCTACACAATAGATAAATTCCCTGCTTCAATCCTCTTCCTTCCCTCTTGGTTTTTTTTTGAGTTTTTGGAAGAGAAAAATTCTTGATTTTGATCCCAAAGGCTTTATTCTTGTAAGCTTTGATTTCCTTGGATTCTATGAAGGTTGTTTTTGAGTTTATATATGGTGCTCTAATATTTTTAGTAGGCAATTAGATGAAAAGAGGTGTTTTGGGCACAAATTCAAACCCTAAGAGGTTGGATTTTACTACTCAATGGTCTAAGCCTATTGATTTAGTTATAATTATGCTATTTAAATCTAATAAGATTTAAATTAAGCTTTGATGGAAGTTGGTGACACTAAATGAAGGTTTTTAATTGATTAAAAATTATATGAATTGAAAATTGGCTTAGTGGTGGCTAATAAATGGTTTTGGCGGTTAAGTGGTATTGTGTGAATGGTTGGTTTAGTATATGGACCAATGGAATGGATTATAGCTCATTGAACCAAGTTATGTGGTATGAGCTATAATCTTCATTAACGCTATTTTCCATGAAAAGTTATATGGATAACTTATATGTTGTAGAAAATTATTGGTGGAACTTAATTAGAGAGAAAGAACAAGCCAAGTTTCATTTTGATACAAGGAAAAATTCTTTTAGTATAAAAGGGTTGAGGTAACGGAAACATTTATATTTCTTATTGCTTTGTTTAGCTATTTTTAAATAAATATTACTAGCTATCATGCATTACATATTTTAAATAATTAAATGCAATTAATTGTGTTTCATAAAGACTTATAGGATACTGCTTGGATAATAGTGCATATATGTTTTCTATTCATTTAACAATATTATTTTTTTTATAAAAATGAGGTTATTTGCATGCATTGTAAATATAGAGAATGGAAGTTACAAATAAGGAAGTGTAACTAGGTTAGATACCTTAGATAGGTTAAAGAACCGCTTAAGGGAGGAGTGATATTTGTTATACTACCATAGAGTGTTGAAGTGGTCAATACTCGGGAAAAGTAGATAAGAGTGAAAGGCATGATTTTGGTGAGAGTTCACTAATGGGGAAGTGTGGGCTTGTGATATTCTATGACATACTATCAGTACTTAGTGTTGCCTTTCATATTGTGGACTTAGTGTACTAAAGTGGTTTGTGTATTATGTAACATCCGAAAAATTTTAACCCTAATTTATTAACTTAATTAGGGTAGTCAGTGAGTTAATGAGGTGTGTGGCCAGAAAGGCTTAACTTGGCATAATTGTTGTGATTTTAGCCATAGAAGTGGTTCCGGATGGATGGCGGGCCACCTGGGCAAGGAAAGAGGACGAAAAAGTGAAGAGTTGCGTTCTGTGCCATACGCCGTTGCACGTGGTTGGTTCGATTTGGCACACGAACACCATTTGAACGTAACGAGCTCCTTTGTGCCATGCGCCGCGATAGAAAGCATCGTGCACCGCGGCGCACAGCCAAAAATATAATAAATCAGCTCATGAGTTGCATGAAAATAGAAGAGAGAGAGAGGAGGAAAATAAAGAGCTTGGTTTTGGCTCTGTTAGGGAACAATATTTAGCCCTATTGTTGATAGATTAAAGCTCCCAAACACCCAAGGTAAGATCATAATGCTTTCTCCCTCCATTCTCTCCCTCATTTATGATTATTTATGGTAAGGTTTGAGTTGGAAGATGGATTTTCAGTCCATAAGAGTATGGGTCCAATTCTACTAGTTAAAATGAGATTAATAGGAGTGATTTAATGTATTGGAACACCATATTGATGATTTTAGAAGTGGTTGGTCTATGGGAGCATTAAATGTCTAAAATTGGTATTTATGAGGTAGTTGGGAGAGGTTAATGTGCATTAATAACGGTTTGAGGTGTTATTAATGATAATGTGCATTAATAGAATCTAATGAGCCCATTGGGTATGAATGGTAGTGGTTATGAGTTGGTAAAATAGTGTATGAGGAGTTTTTATATTGATAGAGCTAAAAGAGCTAGAAGATGATGATATCCTTATGATTTGGTTGTAGAGAGGTTCGTCTTGGCACCTTTCTAGCTTGTTAAAGCTTGGGGAAGTTTCTATAATGAGGGGTAAACCTTTAACCTCTCAATGGTTTGAGGTAACCGAGGAAAACTTAATTTTTATAGTTGAATGTTAATTGTTTGTGACATGTGATTTATGAGTTTAATTTGATGATGCATATTGGCAAATATTTGATTGTGAAATGGTTTTGGAGAAGAGAAAACTTTGATTCTACCACCCTTAATGTTTTGTGAAATTACTTGTGATTTATTACTACGGGTGGAGAATTGTGATGAATTAAGTTTTAAATTATGAAGTATTTTTGTTATGTGAGCGTAAGTGTTGACAAAAGATTGTTAAAATGCATATTATGTGTGAAATGTGCATAGCATGATCATTGGTGGGAGTTTGCCTAGGAGAGGAGTAGATTGATTGAAATCCAATTGGTATTGGCAGTAACCGTTGGAATTGGGAACTAGCCTTGGCACTGACCGTTGGAATCGAGAGGTAGCCCTTGTCCCATAATTGATTCAGGGCTGTCCCACTTGTTGTATGAGGGACTCGAACCTAACTAGTCTCCATCAGTTCATAAGGGTGCTAGATTTAGGGTATAACACCCTATAGTTATTAATGTTTAGGGAAATCAGATTACATAAGTGAGTATGTTAACCTTGGCCTAGTAGCTCCTCACAAGTGGAAGGCTGGGTTAGTCTATGAAGGACGTAGCCTTGTGATAGCCACTGGTTTCATGTCGGAGGTAACAAAAGGATATAAAGTTGGCATATGATCATGCATATAAGTCCAGCCACATGGTTGTTAGTTTTGTAGTCTGGCATGTGTTTAGGGTGCATGGTTGTTATTTTTGTGACCCTGAGTTATGTTTTTGAAAATAACATGATATAATGTCTTGTGGCAAGCCTGGCTACATGGTTGTTAGTTTTGTGAACCGTGGCCCAATACTATATGATATATGTGTTATGTGCCTATTTGCATTTATTTACAATTAATATGTAATTGTAAGGGTTAAGCGAAATATTGTTACTAAGTGGTTGTACTCACCCCTCAAATTCTCAATATTTTTAGGGACTAGCTGATTGGATCTGAGTCAGGGAAAACACACAGAGACTTAGGATTTATGGAGTGAATCCTCTTTATGTCTCTCTTTAGTAGTTTACATGTGTAATTGTTAATGTATTTGCCAACTAGGATTAATTGTCATGATTGGTGTAATATTTGCATGATTTTATGTTTAACTAGTATATTTTATGCCCTGAGTTAGTGAGTTTTTGTTGTGAACCCGTGACTAGAGCCAAAATACTTATGCAAGTAGGAACATATGTATTTTTGAGAAATATGAATGAAATGGTTGATTTTGTGCAACTTTTCCTCCCCCTCTATGTTTTATGAAAATTGAGATTGAGTGGTGATTTTGTGAAACAAGTGTTTTTGGTTGTGCGTAGTGTGTTGCACGAGTCCACAAGGGTCCATTGAGTGTGGTCGGGGAGTTGGTATAGGCTATTGGCACGTGTGGTTGAGTTGGGACACCCCATTTAGGGAAATTTTGTGAAAATATATCAAAGTGGGTTTTAGTGTCCAACTTTTGATAGAAAATAAATTTGATTGTGAAACTAGTGCCATTAGCTAGAGCTTGGAGACAGCTTTGTATAGACATCAAAACCACCTCAATCAGACATCAAATAGAGATTTGGGACATTTCAAAAGTTTGCTCCTTATGCTGTCAAATGATAGCACTGATCTATCAAATTTCGTGCAATGCGCCATGGCGCATGGTGCCTCACGCCACGGCACATGGTACAGAGGAGACACACCACGGCGCACGAACCGTGAGCCACGACGCATGTGCCAAATTCTATGCAAACATCTTTTTTGAGTTTTAAAACTCATTTTTGGGTCCCAATTGATTTCCAAGTTTTCGCTTTATTTTCAAAACTCTGATTTGGAGTCTTTAAAACATGTTTGAGATTTGAATGGTTGAAAATTGAGATTCTTTAAAGTAAATTTTGAGAAATTCATTTATAAACCCTACAATTTGGTAATTCTTGTGAGTTAAGCCCTGGATTACTATAATTTGGAGTTAAGTATGATTTAACCTCAGGGAGGTTACAGTTTGGTATCAGTTTCTCTGGTTTTGAGAACTGGACTGTGGATTTATGAACTAAGTGAGAATTTATTTTGTGAATAGTGCATTTGCATATAGAAAGTTGGAAATTGACATTATACACATGTTTTCCCCTTTGAGCTAGTGTTAACTATTTTCCTTTTGTGGGATAACTTCCATCCTTACGAGGGGAGAATAGTGCAAACAAGAAATACTACCGACAACATTCCGGCAAATGTATCAAGACAAGTGCGGGAAGTCTTAGTGCAAGAGGAGAATATTGTCCCTAGTGAGCATGTTGAGATGGGACAAGGCTCGAGTCAAGCCAAAGAGCAACCAAAGCCTACAACAGGCAATGAAAATATATTGTTCGAGTTGAAGAGCATGATGGAAAGAATTGAATAGAGAATAGATGACCATGATGAGATTCTAAAGAAAAGACTGGAAGAGTCAAGCAAGACCGTAGAGAGAGTTGGTGGTCATGGTGGAGAAAGACTTGAGAGGGGAGAAGAAGAGGATTATTATAAAGAGAGTGGACTGAGAAGGCTTGAACCAATGAGGCCTAGAGGAAGAGAGCAAGAGAGCTCTATTGATTTAGCTTTAAAGAAGTTCATAAGATTGAATCCTCCATTATTTAAGGATTCCATGGAGAATAGAGTGACTTAGAGGTGCATAGATCGGTTGGAGATGATCTTTTTCATTATGACTTTCACGTCTCAGCAGTGAGTACTACTTGCTAGATTCCTGCTTGAGGATGCTACCAAGCAGTGGTGGGAGAGTGTGAGACCGATGGATGGGTCTCCATTGTCATGGAGTGAGTTTAAGAGGAGATTCTTCTCCTACTATTTTCCTACCTCCTTCAGAGTTGAGAAAGAGGCTGAGTTCTATCGGTTGCAACAAGGGAACATGAATGAAGAAGAGTTCATAGCTAAGTTTAATGAGTTGTCCAAATACTCGACCTACTTGAGGAATCATAATGATGAGTATTAGAAGGCTGAGCAATTACTTGAAAAGATATGGCCTGATTAGAAATAGTAGCTAGCACCCTTCGATATTGTCTCATCCAGCGATATGTGCAGTAAGCTGAGGGCAGTGGCCAGATGAGGTTGTAAGGCTGTGGACAGCTAGAGGAGAGATGGTAGGGGCCGTTTCTCTACATATACAGGTCCTACTAGTGGTGTTGGCAAGAGAGCTAGATATAGCTCTAGACTATTTGGATTGGGTAGCAATGGTAGTAAGAAGAGAAGTTTATAAAGGGATTCACATTCTAGAGGTTCCCAGATGAGGAGTAATGTCCCCAGGAATATAGGTGGGCGAAGTTAAGCTTCGAGACAGGATTTTGCTACTACGGTAGCTAGATCGATTAGAGCCTTACAGTGCAGCAAGTGTGGAAGAACTATATTGAGGAATGCTAGACATGTTTCAAGTACCACAAGGCTGGGCATATTGCTTGGTATTCCCCCAAGAATGCTCCTTATAGTGATCAGAGGTCTGCTATTCTTAGTTATGTGTTTGCTATGATAAGAGAAGAGGCTGAAGCTTCCCTGAAGCTTATCCATGGTATGATTTCTTTAAGTAATCAACAAATTTATGTTTTATTTGATTCTGGTACCACTTACTCGTTTGTCTCCAATGAGTGTGCACAAAGACTGAAATTGCATGTGGTTGAAATGCCTTTCATGATGAATGTGTCTACATTGGCTGGTGCTTCAGTGAGAACCAGTCGAGCTTGTTTGAAAGTTGAGTTGAAATTTAGTGAAATAGTCACAAGTATTGATTTAATTTGTTTGCCTATGTCAGGAATTGATGTGATAATTGGCATGGATTAGTTGTCTGCTAATAGAGCAATGTTTGATTGTATTAGAAAGATAGTTTCATTGCTAGTGTACATGGCAACTACAATGAATAATAAGACTACACATTTTGTACCTGTTACTACTCTGGAGACTCCCAAGTTCATATTAGTAGTACAAATGGAGAAATCAATAAAGGAAGGATGTCAAGCTTTCATCGTGTTTTGCTTAATACATGGAGTATACGATGGAGCAATAGACAAGATTGGAGTTGTCAATAAGTTTCCTAAGGTGTTTGCAGATGAAGTGTCAGGATTGCCACCAAAGAGGGAGATTGAGTTCTTAATCGACTTGGTACCTGGTACAGAGCCAATCTCTAAGGCTCCATATCGGATGGCTCCAACAAAATTAAATGAGCTTAAGAAGCAGCTAGAGGAGTTATTAGAGAAGGGATTGATTAGACCTAGTGTTTCACATTAGGGTTCGCCTGTTCTGTTTGTCAGGAAGAAAGATGGTAGCTTGAGATTGTACATAGACTACTGATAGCTGAACAAGGTAACAATTAAGAATAAGTACTCGTTACCCTAAATTGACGACTTATTGGATCAGTTAGCTAGAGCATCGGTATTCTTTAAGATTGATTTGAGATCCGGCTATCACCAGTTGAGAGTAAAAATGGATGATGTGCCGAAGATTACTTTCAGAATGAGATACAGGCATTATGAATTTCTTATTGTGCCCTTCGGGTTGACGAATGCACCCGCAATCTTTATGGATTATATGAATCGAATCTTTACGTCCTATTTGGACAAATTCATAGTAGTCTTCATTGATGATATTTTAATATACTTGGTTGATGAGGAAGAACATGCTAAGCAATTGCAGATTGTGTTGCAAATTCTAAAAGAGAAGAAGCTTTATGCAAAGTTGAGCAAATGTGAGTTCTGGTTGCGTGAAGTGAAGTTTTTAGGCCATATAGTATTGGCCAGTAGTATTATAGTTGATCCTCATAAGGTGGATGCGGTACTACAATGGGAAAGACTGACTTCTGTGATCGAGATCCAAAGTTTCTTGAGTTTAGCAGGATATTATAGGAGGTTTATTCAGGGATTCTCCTAGATTGCATCTACTTTGATCAAATTGACTAAGAAAGATCATCCTTTCATATGGATTGACAAGTATGAAGAGGCTTTTCAAGAGTTGAAGTAGAGATTGATGACTGCACCTATGTTGACCATTCTAGATTCGAAATTACCATTTGTGGTTTATGCAGATACGTCACTTAAGGGTCTTAGATGTGTTATAATGAAAGATGACAGAGTTATGGCATATGTTTCAAGACAGTTAAGACTGCATGAGGAGAACTATCCTACCTATGATCTTGAGCTTGCAGCAATGGTGTTTGTGCTTAAAATATGGTGACATTACCTTTATGGTGTGCAATTTGAGGTATACAGTGACCACAAAAGCCTCAAATATCTAGTTGATTAGAAAGAGTAGAATATGCAGCAGTAGAGATGGATGGAGTTCTTGAAGGATTACAATTTTGAGTTAAAGTACCATCCTGGTAAGGCTAATGTAATAGCTGATGCGTTAAGCTGGAAGATGCTACACGTAGCATTCTTGATGATGTAAGAGCACAAGATGCTAAAGGATTTCTCTAATGAACATAAGAATATTTCTAATTTCACATCAAACAACTTGAATGTCAAGGTGATTACAAGTGAATTCTGGAAAGAATTGAGAAAAGCACAATTAAAAGACGAGTATTTATTGAAATCTGGGACGACATTAAGGAAAAGCGAATGATGGCTTTTAGTTTCAGTAATGATGGTTTCTTGTTGTATCACGAACGTATGTGTGTTCCTAATGATAAGGTGATTAGAGAGACTATACTATCGAAAGCTCACAGGAGAAAGCTAACAATTTACCCTGGTACTACTAAAATGTACCAAGATATGAAGAAGCGATGGTGGTGGCACAGAATGAAGCAAGATATGACTAAGTTCGTTTCTAGGTGTTTGACATGTCAGAAAGTCAAGATAGAACACCAAAGGCCACCTAGGCTATTACAACCCTTAGAAATCCCAATGTGCAAATGGGATAGTGTGTCTATAGATTTTATAATGGGATTGCCTCGTACATAGGCGAGTCATGATGCTATATAGGTAATTGTGGACAGACTGACTAAGTCTGCTCACTTCCTAGCCATTAAAGTAGATTATACCTTAGAGAGATTTGCTAAGGTTTATGTCCAAGAGATAGTACAGTTGCATAGGGTACCGAAAGAGATTATGTTAAATCATGATCCAAGGTTCACATCGAACTTCTGGAGAGCTTTATACTAGGCTTTAGGTACTAAATTAAAGTTTAGTACAGCCTATCACCCACAAACTGATGGACAAACTGAGAGAACGATTCAAACTCTTGAGGATATGTTGCGAGCGTGTGCTGAGTTTAATGGAAGTTAGGATAAACACTTACCACTTGTGGAGTTTGCTTATAACAATAACTTTCATGCAAGTATTCAGATGGCTCATATAAAGCTTTATATGGATGAAAGCATCGATCGCCTCTTTACTGGACTGAGTTAAGTGAGAGAAGTGTTTTGGGTCTAGATTTGGTGGATCAAACCACAGAAAAGATAGAGGTAATTCGATAGAAGTTGTTGACTGCCCAAAGTCAGCAGAAGAGTTATACAGATAAGAGAAGGAGACGGCTAGAATTTATGGCCGGAGACCATATATTCTTGAAGGTATCGCTTGTGACTGGTATTGAGAGGTCTATTTGAGCCAAGAAGTTAACTCCCAGATATATTACTCCGTTTGAGATTCTAGAGAGGATTGGGCCTTTGGCATATTAGATTGCATTACCCCTACATTTGTCGAGTGTACATGATACGTTTCATGTCTCACAACTCAAGAAGTACCAACCCGATCCGTCTCACATTATTAAACCAAAAGAGGTAGAACTACGAGAGAATTTGACTTACTGGACTGAGCCAAAAAGGATAGCTGATGTGAAATATAAGCAGCTAAGAAACAAGACTATCCATTTAGTGAACGTGATATGGAAGGGAATAACTCCCGATGATGCTACTTGGGAAATGGGGGAGAAAATAAGGGAAAATTAGCCCCATATTTTTCAGTGAGGGAAGATTTATATGATTTACCAAATTTTAGGGACCAAATTCTTAAAAGGAAGGGAGAGTTGTAACATCTGAAAAATTTTGACCCTGATTTATTAATTTAATTAGGGTAGTTAGTGAGTTAATGAAATATGTGGCTAGAGGGGCTTAACTTAGCATAATTGTTATGATTTTTGCCCTAAAAGTGGGTCTAAATCGATGGAGGGTCACCCGGGCAAGGAAAGAGGATGAAAAAGTGAAGAGTTATGTTCTGTGCCACACGTCGCGACATGTGGTTGGTCTGCCACAGTGCATGGACACCATTTGAACAGAACGGGCTCCTCTATGCCATGCACCGTGGTGAATGGCATTGTGCATCATGATGCACGGATAAAAATTTGATAAATAAGCTCGTGAGCTGCGTGAAAACAGAAGAGAGAAAGAGAGAGGAGAAAAACAAAGAGCTTAGTTTTGGCTCTGCTAAGGCATGATATTTGGCCCCATTGTTAATAGATTGGAGCTCCCAAAAAAACACCCAAGGTAAGATCATGGTGCTTTCTCCTTCCTTTCTCTCCCTCATTTATGATTATTTATGATAGGGTTTGAGTTGGGAGATGAATTTTTGGTCCATAAGAGTATGGGTCTGATTCCATTAGTTAAAATGAGATTAATAGGGGTGATTTAATGTTGAACACCACATTAATGATTTTAGAAGTGGTTGGTCCATGGGAGCATCAAATGTCTAAAAATTGGTATTTATGAGGTAGTTGAGAAAGGTTAATGTGCATTAATGATGGTTTGAGGTATTATTAATGATAATATACATTAGTGGAATCTAATGAGCCCATTAGGTATGAATGGGTAGTGGTTATGAGTTGGTAAAATAGTGTATGAGGAGTTTTTATATTGATAGAGCTTAAAGAGCTAGATGATGATGATATCCTTATGATTTGGTTGTAAAGAAGTTCATCTTGGCACCTTTCTAGCTTTTTGAAGCTTGGGGAAGTTTCTATAGTGAGGGATAAATCTTTAACCTCTCAATGGTTTGAGGTAACCAAGGAAAACTTAATTTTTATAGTTGAATGTTAATTGTTTGTGAAATGTGATTTATGAGTTTAATTTGATGATGCATATTGGCAAATACTTGATTGTGAAATGGTTTTGGGGAAGAGAAAATTTTAATTCTACTACCCTTGATGTTTTGTGAAATTACTTGTGATTTATTACAATGGGTGGAGAATTGTGATGAATTATGTGTTAAATTCTGAAGTATTTGTGTTATGTGAGTGTAAGTGTTGAGAAAAGATTGTTAAAATTCATAGTATGTGTAAAATGTGCATAGCATGATCATTGGTGGGAGTTCGCTTAGGGAGAGGAGTAGATTGATTGAAATCCATGTGGTATTGGCAGTAACCATTAGAATCGGGAACTAGCCTTGGCACTAACTATTAGAATTGGGAGGTAGCCCTTGTCCCATGGTTGATTTGGGACTGTCCCACTTGTTTTATGAGGAACTCGAACCTAACTAGTCTCCACCAGTTCATGAGGAGGGTAGATTAGGGGTATGACACCTCATGATTGTTAGTATTGGGGGGAACTGAATTATATAAGTGAGTAAGTTAACCCTGGCCCGGTAGCTCCTCACAAGTGGAAGGTTGGGTTAGTCCATGAAGGACATAGCCTCATGATAGCCACTGGTTTCGTGTCAGAGGTAACAGAAGGATATAAGGTTGGCATATGATCGTGAATATAAGTCTGGCCATATTATTGTTAGTTTTGTGGTCTGGAATGTGTTAAGGGCGCATGGTTGTTATTTTTATGACCCTGAGTTATGTTTTTGAAAACAACATGATATAATATCTTATGGCAAGCCCGGTCACATGGTTGTTAGTTTTATGAACCGTGGCCCAATACTATATGATGTATGTGTTATGTGCCTATTTACATATATTTACAATTAATATGTAACTGTAAGGGTTAAGTGAAACTTGGTTACTAAGTGGTTGTACTCACCCCTCAAATTCTTAATATTTTCAGGGACTAGCTAATTGGATCCAAGTCGGGGAAAACACACAGAGACTTAGGATTGGTGGAGTCAATCTTCTTTATGTCTCTCTTTAGTAGTTTACATGTGTAATTGTTAATATATTTTCCAACTAGGATTAATTGTCATGATTGGTGTACTGCTTACATGATTTTGTGTTTAACTAGTGTATTTTATGCTCTGGGTTAGTGAGTTCTTGTTGTGAACCCGTGAGTAGGGCCAAAATACTTGTGCAAGTAGGAACAAATGTATTTTTGAGCAATATGAATGAAATGATTGATTTTGTGCAACTTTTCCTCGCCCTCTATG